CGGCCTGCGGGCCTCTTTCCGGTCCCCTCGAAACCGACTTGGCCTTGCCCCTCGACCCGCCGCAGAACAAGCCCGACGACTTGGATGTGTGGCGTCTCCCCGATGACGACAGCGTGCAAAAGTGAGCCCTCCCGGCGCCCCGCGCAGTCGCACCGCCCGCGCTGCGACAGCGGCGCCGCCCGTGCGATCCCAGGGTGTCGGTGCAAAGGAGGAGGGGAGGAGGGAGGGGAGAGGAGAGGCGGGCGGAGTGAGGAGTGAGGGATGGGTCGGGAGGAGTGAGGCAGGGGAGTCGAGGCGGGAGGCGGGAGGGAAGGCGGGCGGGGAGGCGGGAGGGGAGAGGTTCCGCTCACCAGCCTCTCTGCGAGCACCGCCTGCTCCAATCACCCTCTCGTGCGCGACCGCCGTCTCAAACTTCTCGCGCGCCTGCGCCTCCAGGAGGGCCGCTGCCTGCTGCAGCTGCGTCGAGTGCTCCGCGCTCAGCTGCTGCAGCTGCGCTGAGTGCGCCTCCGCCGCCGCCGCCTGCTCCTCGCGGAATCGCTCGACCAGCTGCGCCTCGATCGCAGCCTTGGCCTCCTCGACCGCCGCCGCGCTCGCCGCCTCCTGCCGTCGCATCAGCTCGACGAGCTTGGCGGCGTCCGCCTCCTCCTGGCACTGCAGCGCTTGCTGCAGCCGCGACGCCTCCGCGTCCCGCGACTGATGCGCCTTGAGCAGCTCCATCAGGTGCGTCACCTTTCCCTCCAGCTCGGACGCCGCGGTGGGAGCCGGCGGCGCGCCGTCGCAGCGCGCCGGGGCCGACGGCGAGAGCCTGTGGAGGAGCCGGTGGAGCAGTCGAGACTGCTGACCGCTCCTCCATGGTCCCCCGCCGGTGGACGCCGAGTGCAGTCATCGGTATGCGGGAGGCGTGCTCAAGGGCTGGCGGGGCGGACGCGACGACCTGGCGTTGCCGTCGCGGAGGGCTCGGGCTCGAGTGAGCCCCCCCGGCGACGCGTCGTTGCGGCCGTGGCCGCGCGGGCCACCTGCATCGACGGGCTTCTTAGGGGGGGGGGGGGGGGGGGCGCCAATGAGACGCTTTTGCCCGTCGGCAAATCCATCCGTGTTGGGTCCTCACGTGTTGGCACCAGCTGAAGCGTTGAAGATGAGCGCGCGCGTCACAGCGCAGGCCAGGTCTACACTGGCCGCGGCACCAGCTCCCGCGGTCTGCACGCTAGGAGTGGTCCGCCCTCGCAATGAATGCGGAATACTACTACGAAAAGTACAACTAGTGCGACACACTAGTCACTCTCGTAATCGCGCCAAGAGCGCGGATACACACACAAACAAACAACAGGCGCGGCTATGAATAGCTGCGCATATACAGATAACGACTGTTCACAGTTGGGAGAGAGAGAGTCGTCTCTAACGCTCCCCCCTAGTTGCATCGGCAACTATCTCGGACGACTCGCGCGTCTTCGGCGAAGGCGGTGATGTCTCACGCCTTGCCGACGGTCGCGACGAGCTTGCTCCACAGCCGGGCAGCCTGCCCCTGGAGCGTCACAGCAAAGCCGGGGCCGTTGCTGGCGTTGAGCATGTAGTCGCGACAGGTGAAGAACATAGCTCGTGTCGCCTGCGTCTTGGTGAAGACGTCGGCGATCATATAAGCAGTGCCGACGAGGTACGGCGCGACATGGCGGAGCATGAAAAGGCGCTTGACAAACATGGTGGCACGTTCGTAGTAGCGCGTGCGAGCAGTAGAGCCGGGCTTGACGATGATGTCAAAGACGGCTTTGCAGTCACCGAGCTGGGGCGTGGGGCCTGCGACAGCTCGGCCAGCATCCTCGAGCATGAGCCGGCAGGAGACGACTTTCTTGGCGGCGACGGAGGCGGTGGCGGTCTCCTCTTCGGCGACGCTGAGAGCCTCGATCTTGGACTTGTTGGCGCTCCAGTCGATGGCGCT